TGCGCGGGGGCGGAGGGGTTGTCTCCGGGGCGCTTTCCGCAGGGCTCGCAGGTGGGGAGCGGTGAAGCTGGTGTCAGACAGGCCCTTGGGAGGCCGCCGCTGCTATGTAACTCATCTGAGTTTTCCTCTTGAATGATCTTTGATTCCCGGGATGTTACAGCGAGGCTACGTTACGTTTTAACCTGACAGAATGCAGGAATAGCGTGTTTTCCTGTTTGCATTCTTGAGTGGCTAAGCAGTAGTCGCTAAGTAGCCTTACCAAACTGCTCTGTTGAATCCTTCCCATGCGTTTCCTGGGCAGGTTGTGTCTGCTGTGATGTCTTTGATGGGTTTCAGGTCGCCAAGGCTTTGTAACGTTACTGGAAAAGACATACAGCAATGTCTAAAGGGACTTCTTAGAGACTGGCGTGGGCTCAGCTCTCTTGAAGCTTTCTGAGGAAGCAGCATTATCTCCAACTCTGTGTGTTTAATTCTGCATTCCTTTGGGACAGGACACATTGTGAAGGTTTTGGTGGCTGTGACTAAGGGGGCTGAGTGTGTAACAGAAGTTATGTCAGAGCAGGTCTTTGATCTTAGGTTTAACGTGTTCTGTTTTACGGGAAAGGTGTATTCTGCACAACCTGGGCAACTTGTGTTAGCACCGAAATGGGAGAGTTGGCGAGTTGCAGCAGTCTGTGACTCAGAGCAGAAAGTAAAATCCTAAATGAGGAAGGAAAGGGGATATTTCTGAAATGCAGCAAGTTGGTACTTTGTGTGTTCATCTTGGGCACCTCTTGGAGGGTAACTGGAATGACAACCTAATGTAATTTGTGAAACAAAAGCTGAACTCAGCGTTTGAGGAAAGGGGAGGGAAGTTGTTAACAGCTATGATGTGTTACGTTGCCATAGGGGTGTCATGTAAACAGCAGTTTTTGAATGCCCCTTGGCACTATTTTGTAGCCTGATACGCTGGCCCATGATTTCCCAAAGCCTTTGGGTTACTAATCTTTAAAACTACTGGATTCCCTAAGCTGAGAAATGTATGTGGTGGCAGCAGCCAGCAGAGCTCAGCCATGATGGGATGACAAAGGCTGAAAGTTTGATACCTTTTCTGTATCAAGTACCAGAAGAATCCTTTTGTTTTTGCTGTGTCTTTTGTCAGAGAAAGCAACCAATGCATCTTAAAGAGAAAAATCCAACCTAAAATTTAACTCCGTGTATTGTTTTGTTGTCTCAGCCTTAGGCAAAGTAGCATGTGATGTATATTAATCATGCTGCAATGCACTGCAGAATTTTGAAGCAGATGTTGAGTAATGTGGGACCTTCTGTATTTAAATAAAAGCATTGAAATTAAGCGTTGCTCTTTTCAGTCTACCTAGAATCTCTCTGTAGTATGAGGAAATGTTCTGAATCAGATGAGTGTTGCTAATTCCTTAATTTTCTGGAACCTGGTAGGGAGTTTGGGGTTTTTTCTTATATGACTGGTCTTTGCAAGCTTGAGTGTTGGGTAGTGTTGGGTTCTCAACCTGGATTTCTAGAATCTGGTGAGGACTAGACCATGCTTTTCTAGGGAATTGGTCAAGTGATTATACTGAAGTCTCCCTTGGAAGTGTCTTTCAGAATTTTGTGACTTCACTGGGACTTTGTTCTTGTTTGGTGCATGGTTAATGTAATGGTCTTATTTTATCTCTGCAAATCCTTCATCATAAATGAACATGCTAGAAGTCCAAATGCTTTCCTCTGAACATGTTGCATATTTACTTGAAGGCATTGCCAAAGAAAATCAGAACTCTCAGTGGATGTTTTTAAATAAAATGGTTGATAATGCATCCTACAGATCTGAACAACTTTTCTTACAGCCCCTTCTCAGCCTTTGCCTTTTCACGCTGCTGGCTGCTGTCACTGCAGAGGTGAATCACTTGAAAGGGGAACCCTGTGAACAGATATATTCCCCCCCTTCCTGCAATCTCTGCCTCCTTTTCTCCCCCTCTACCTCCCCCAGTCACCAGAAAATTCTATTCTTAGTGAGGAGGAAAACTAGAAAGAAACTTTTGGGTGTTGTTAGGAAAGTACTTTTGCTATTAATAGCAGATGCACCTCATTCATGCAACTTAATGGTCTGATTTGGTATGTGACAATGTCATTGGCATTAAACTATATCAGCCAGTGTATTGGGAGGTGTAAAGGGCATGTGCTTCTGCAGTGTGATGTCCTTGTACAATCATCTCCTGCGTTTCCTGTTGCAGTCCATGAGAGTGAATGTCTGCTGTCTTTCAGCAGAAGTCTCTTTGTTAGCATTTGGTTAGAATACAGGGTTCAAGGTCAGCACTTGATTGCTGGAAGAAATCTCTTGATTTATTACTAAGCATACATGCTTACTTTCTTTCTCTTTTTGAAATACCTTGTTACTCCCTTGCTAGATAAGAAACTCCATAATTAAACAGTGTTCCATTTCTGAGCTCCAGTCCACGTATCCAAGAAAAGGCTGCAAATGAGTCAAACCTAATGCACTTATCTTTGCAAAATTGTTTTGTGGTCTTTTCAGCTCTAGACAGCCTTGTAGTCAAACTTTCTGCCAGCTACAAAGGTACATTTCTTCATTCTGCATTCCTGTAACAATTGCCAGACACTCATTTCAGGATAAAGAGGAAGAAGAGCAACCTGGTACATTTAATGGTACATGGTAGCTGGCAAAGGCAGTGAAACAAGTCTTTTCAAGACTATAAAACACAAAACCAACCCAGCGTTGTATGTCTGGAGGCTCAGAGATTTGTTGTTGCCTCAGGCGTGTGTCTGTCCCCATAGTTTGTGTCTTCCAGGAGCTGTTCAGAGGAAGCTTTTGTGGAAAAGACTTCAATATCCAGAAGATAAATCTGACTTAGGAAAAATTTACTAAATTCTATTATGTGGTCCCTCTGCAACATCTTATGTTTTTATTAATTAAATTAATTTAAAAAGAGTAATGCTGCTTGCTGAGTAAAGTTATAAACATGGTGCCACTCACAATGGTAATAATAAGTTTCTGGTATGCTGTTCAGGAATTGGCAATGATGAATTTTACAACAGGTAACTACCAGAAATGTTCTTTACAGAGGTATTAAACCTGGGAAGACTCTAGTACAGACTGTTGGTTTCCATGTTTGGGTTGGGTTTTTTTGTTTCTATTGGTTTTTTTGTTTCTATTAATTTTGTTTCCACTGAATGGAATGTGATGTACTTACTCTGCTTTAAGAATGCTGTTTGAGCAGGATACTTGAGAATGCTCTCGTAACATGGGATCAAGTGCTAACTTAGAATTTCTGATACAATACCAAGGGATGAGGGAGTAAGGAGGCATGCAGGGGCACTGATCCTGAATCAGAATGATTTTCCCCTCTACCAGAAGAGAATTAGGATGTGTATGTGGTACACCAAGACTCAAAAGTAATGATTTCTTACACTTGAAATTGGGGTGCCTGAGTGGTGGATTCCATGACTGCTATGGCATACCCTATCCAGAATGTATTCCAGAAATCTTTCTTCAAAGCAAAGAGTCAGGGACAATTTTTCTCCCTTCAAATGGAATATTATTTTCAATTTGGTCTGCTCAGTGTGTAACCTTGATTTGGTGAAATAGTCCTGAAGTTTAATTGAAGGTTTTAGGTGTATTTGAAGTATTCTGGACTTTGAAGTTTCATTTAAGGTCATCACTGTAGTGACTTTAGTTTCACATTCTCCATCCTGTCGGATTTTATGGGGTTTGTTCGTTCATCTGTCTTAATACAGTTTTTTTACCAGACCCACAGCATTCATACCCATTCTAAAATTCTGCTGCTTGGTGAGAGAGTATTTTTTTTGTCCTTGATTCCCATTTCAATTTTTTTTTGTTCATGCCTCACATTCTGCTTCGCTACTAAGAAGATTCTTGTTCTCAATTAAATTAAGCAGAAGGATCATCTAGTGTTGATAAATTACAGTTGTCCAACTGAAGTCAGGTAATAAGCTTGGACTTTTTCCTAAAGTGGGCTGGTGGTCTGCTTAAATCATGCTTGTCTAGATTATCGTTCATTAAGTTAGCTGTAAAATTCAATTTTAAAAAACTGTAGATGCTGTAGGTAAATGACTAGTTCTTTTTCTGTGTGGCTGCGTGTTAAATGTGCCTGAATGTATTATGACTTCTTAAAATCTTTCAGCTGAGAGAAAATGACTGCCATCAAGCATGCTTTACAGAGGGATATTTTCACTCCCAATGATGAACGCTTGTTGAGCATTGTGAATGTGTGCAAAGCAGGCAAAAAGAAGAGAAACTGCTTCTTGTGTGCCACAGGTATGTAGTCACAGTACACTGTATTCTTGTCTTTGCTTTTGTTTCTTATTCAGTTGCATTTGTCTTTGCTTCATTTACAATATTTATTCTTGCCCTGTATAAAACAGGTGCTTTCCGTTTCTATAGGAGAAAATAAATTGTAGTTTATACTTTCATTATTGCTTCTATTAAAAAAGAAACAAACCTCTGTACTTTTATTCCCAGATCTCATTCTAATTTGAAATGAAATAAAATTATCTGTGTGGGACTGGTGGGCTTTTGAAGCAGGCTTTATATAGTGCTTAAAAGGGGATTCAGTTGGCATTTAGGCTGATCAGCCTAAATAAAATGCAGTAAGGAATACTAGTTAGAGTCCAGGGCAGAGGCCTCTGGAAAGGCACAGTAGCTGAACAGAATTCTAATGTTCCTCTGAGTGTGTGTGTGTGTGTATTACGTCTCTTCAAAAAATTAGGTGCTCTGGATCGATCTGTCAACAAATTATCTTGCTAGAATTTTTTTTTCTATGAGAAAATATTTTTCTTCTGACTGTAATCTCCAGTTACTTCTGTGCTTTGTCAGTTACATGGCCATGGTCTGAGGTCTGCTATATCAAAGAAATATCTGTAAATTGGGTTCGTTATTTCACAAGCTAGACACACATATCGGGTTGACTGATACAAACTGAGCTGTGGATGAAAATGTTTCAAAGGGTCTGTCTTCATTTTCATTTGTGCAGTTTGAATTTACTCCTTTACTTCATTTAACAGTGACAACAGAACGACCAGTGCAAGTAAATGTGGTAAAAGTGAAAAAATCTGACAAAGGAGATTTCTACAAGAGGCAGACTGCATGGGCACTTCGAGATCTCGCTGTTGTTGATGCCAAAGATGCTGTTAAAGTATGTGTAACTTTTTTTTCTTTTAGTGATCTGCTCACAACATCCTTCTGGTTCAAAGATAGAGTTGACTTCTTTGATACTGACTGCTTTAAAGCTTAGATTGATAACACATTAATTAGGAATCAGGATGATAGATTCCTGTGCTGCTTATACCTGCATTTTCTTCCAGCCATTCCAAGAACATAACCCTGGTAAACTGGGTAAGAGTAGACTAGGGATGCTTGAATAGCAATATTCTTAGTATCTGCCCTGTTTATTGTAGTGATCTCTCAGTGACTGTAGGGTGCTGGTGCTTTTTTGTTTGGTCTGAGTCTTACGTAAGTTTTACTCCAAGCTTACTTTCCCCTTAAAAAAATTATTACCATCTTACTAATGACATTGAGCTACATGTAATGTCTTGTGCTAAGACACAAAACATTCTTAATGAACAGTATGTAAGCTTGAAGGTAAACTCCTACATCTGTTCTCTAAATCATGACACTGGCCATTTGTTGGGAAGTGGACAGTCCTGAAGTGATGGCTTTTTTCCTTAGAACAGCAAGGGCAACCTGTTTATAACCATTTAAATTCATTTGTTGTCATAAACTAAGATGTACAGTCAGGCAGAGGTGAAAATTCTTCATCCTGTGATGTCTGGTTTTATGTTCTGTTAGCTGGTGATTTGAAGAATAGTGCAGAAAACTACAAAGTTGGACAATCTTTGATTTCCCCCTCCCCAAGTGTAGATTAAATGTTTTGTTATTTCAGTTATCCACATACTTGTTGGCTATAGTTTTAATTTTCCATACTATTCCTGAATACCGTGTTGGAGAATTGCTTCTTTCAGTTTAAGGCTCCATTTAAAATGATACCATCATCTTTTAGCACTTTTTCGTGCAAAACAGAATTCAGTTAACTGTTTTCAGAAATGGTCTGCAATGTATATACCACTCTAATGAGTGATTCCAAAAGTTTCTTTCAAAAAACAAACATTGGATGCAAACTCTCATATAAAAAAAGTGAGAAGTAAAGATGATAGGAACCTCATATTTTGGTTTCCAAATGTGATCCTCTGCAGCACTTTTGACACTGGGCTTTCCTGTACTAGTTGTCAGACAACTCCTACTTTATGTAATGATACTCTGTTTAGAAATATATGGTAATTATATTTATCAATATATGCTACAGGGAAAAAACCCAGAACTGCTTTTATTGTACTGTACAGGAAGTACCAGGTTGCCCAGGGAAGCTGTGGATGCCCCATCCCTGGAAGTGTCCAAGGCCAGGCTGGATGAGGCTTGGAGCAACCTGGTCTAGTGGAAGGTGTCCCTGCCCATGGCAGGGGGGTTGGAACTAGGTGGTCTTTAAGGTCCCTTCCAACCCAAACTGTTCTGTGATTCTACCATTTCCCATTGTGTGCGGTTTCATATGCAGCCTGCTTCTACAGATAGTAGTAACAACATAAGTAATAAGTAGCAGCAATAGTAACTTTTACAAACTATATATGAGTACGAATCTAGCATTTATCTGAGGCAATAATATTTTTCATCAGAAGGAGGGTGAACCTTGTAAAATGCTTGAAATATGATCTTTAAGCAGACTATGATCAGTTACAGTCCATACTGAGTTCATAAGTGGCTGTAGAAAGGAATGAACTGTTATCAAAGCAATGTTCTGGACAGGCAATTAATGTAGTTGAACATACTTCTGTAGGAGTTTTTTACCATTAAAATACCAAGTGGTCTTTTCTGTCCTGGTCAGTGCTATCAAATACTGTCATATTTATAAAATATATGTAGTGCTCATATTTTTTTTGTCCCCCCTTGTCTATTCCCCTAAATCTCCTTGAACTGCGTTGTGTATGTTGTCAGTAATTCCAGCTACCATTTTTAATTTCAGAAGGCTAACACAGGCCATTAGTCATTCTGAGGATAGTGTTTATGGGCAGACAGCACTGTCAAACGTTTCTCAAAACTCTTACAGATCTCTGTAATATTTTATTGTTGCCTTTTCTGGTTTGAGAAAATACTGTTTTCATAGCGTGGATTCTATCTTTTCACTTTCAGTGTTTTAGCACCTTCGTCAAGGTGCATTAGGGTGCCAGAGTCGGTGTATCAGCTTAAAGTTGGCATCTGTGTAATTTCAATTTATATGCTGTCGTCTCAGTTATTGAGTAAGTGAACAACCTTGGCTGCTCAGAGAATCATGTGACTGTTGAGCCTGTAAACATGTCTCATCTTTTGCAGGACAATCCTGAATTTGACTTGCATTTTGATAAAGTGTACAAATGGGTTGCAAGCAGCACAGTGGAAAAGAACACCTTCATTTCATGTATCTGGAAACTCAATCAGAGATATCTTAGAAAGAAAATTGACTTTATTAATGTTAGTTCACAGCTTCTGGAAGGTAAATTTCTACCTATGTTAAGTATAAAGTTTAATTACTGATGTAAAACAGATGCACTAAAAAATATCTCCTAATACTGACTTTTTTCCTATTCAATTTTATTATTTCATATTTTCTGAGTATTCAGATAAACAAGGTAACTAGATAACAGATCTTCTGTTAGAAAACTGAGACAAAATTTTTCATTAATGAAGTCCTGAATTTTGATAAGCTTGTTGTATTTCTAAGCCATTCTGTTTCTTCCACAAAACAAAATCTACCTGCAGGATTTGGTAGGTCTGAATGTGTAACAAATCTACTTTTGTTCTGATTGTCACTTCATCTGACACAGAAAAATGCTTTAAAAAGTGACACTTTAGTAGAGTGCTAAAGGTTATGTGAGGTTTTATATGAGGTTTCTTTTTTGTAAACTGTGAAGCATGTGTTAAATTCTGCTGGACCCTGTTATGGCTTACATGACTGGCTGCTAAGAAGGCGTTGTATCTGGTTCAGTTATGCAGTAATAAGTATTTTTATCGTCACACTATCTTTTAATAGTTAAATTTTGAGTAGAGTCCAGTGAGTAAGCATATCTCACGCTGAGTCTGTCAGAAGGGGTTAAGCTGTTGATACTAAATAGGAGACTGGCTTGTGCGGAAGAACTTGAATTAGAAATGTAAAACGGGGAAGATAGCATTTCTGTATTTGGGTATTGACTGAAATTTGGTTTTAACCAACCTCTAGCTTTTCAAATTTGTGCAATATTAAAACACTCAAACGTACTGCCACGTAAAAATACACTGTTCGTGCTTTGTCTAGCTAACATTCTCTGCTTCCTTTCCACTGCTTTTCCATACCTTTTAATTCTACAGAACTGCCTAAAGTTGCAGAAGGTGCGTAACACCTTTTTCCTTTATTCTGCTTTGTAAGCAATTTTTCTTAAATAATATGCTTTTTCTTCTCTTTTTTTTTCTTCTTATAATAATGCTTATCAAATTGCTAGAGAGAAGAGAGATATTTCAAATGTCGTAAATACTTTCTGACTGCATTGCATTAGTGTTCTGTAAATCGTTTGTCAGCCTTTGAATGGCTTGTTGAATTAGGCCCTTCCATGAGAAATCACAGTTCATGAAAACATTGTTATATGGTTTTCACTTACCTCCATACTGACTTTCCACCTTGATCATCAGGATATTTTTTATTTATTCAGCGATATATTTCTTAATCAACTTTAGTATGTTTCCTTCATGCTGTCTGCCAAGGGAGAATCTAACTTCTGCTGATCTTCTCCTAACGAGTATAGCATTATATTATAATTTATTCCGATATTCATTACCAGCGTGAAAGGTGAATAAACCGAGACAGTATGCTCCTTCGTATGTGTAATAAAGGAAGGTGGCTATTTGTATTTTGCTTATGATGTATAATTTGGAAAACATCACTGTTAGGAACCAGTTCTGGAAATCTTAAGCCCATGGAAGCCTGAGACTTGGAAAAAGTGTATGTAGGTAGCAGGTGCTTGTTCTGAAAGTTGTTCAGTGGATTCATCTATTTAAATACAGTTGAACACGCTTAAGGATTCTTAAAATACCTTTGACTTTCTGTACTTGATAATGTGTTTTATTTCTCTTTTCTACGTAAGAATCCATTCCAAGTGGAGAGAATCAAAGTGTAGCAGGAGGTGATGAAGAGGCTGTGGACGAATACCAGGAGTTAAATGCAAGAGAGGAACAGGATATTGAAATAATGATGGAAGGATGTGAATATGCAATTTCTAATGCGGAAGCCTTTGCAGAGAAGTTGTCAAGAGAGCTACAAGTGCTAGATGGGGTAAGCATTTCTTCTGATGTGTTAGCATGTTGAACTGTTTTCACTGATACTGACCACGTAGCATTCTTGGAAAAGGTAGCTAATGTGTTCTGCCACATATTTAGATGTGTATCTGGTCCTTGGCAGAACTACATCCTGTCTATTGTCAGATTTTGAAGATCTTCAACTTTGCTCTTTTAGCTGAGAAGAAAAAAAGGAGGCGTTCTGCATATACCTTTCTTGAAGGCAGGAGTGCAGGGAGAGAGAGAATAGATGTTGATGTCCATGGATGTGAACCCTTATGCCTAAAATACTATTCCCAGTGTAGTTAGACTGGCTTAGCGTAATAACGTTTCAGTATATAGCTGTCTGTAGTGGTCCCAGGCTGTTCGCTATTTTGATTTTTGAACAACCAAGAAGTCATTTGGAAAACTTAAGAAGATGCAGAGGATACAGCCTTGAAGGAAGAGTCAACAGTCTCCTCAAATTGTCAAGTTGTAAGTTTCTCTTATAGTTTCTCTTGTGTTTTGAAAATGGCTGTTATCGTAGAGATCTTGCAACAGAAAGTGTGACCTTACCACACAGGCTGTTTTTTCTGGAAATAAAAATGCTCCAGTATGGTAGGGATTACCGTTTGGCTTTTATTTTTGTGGAGATAGATACTTCAATTTGAAGAACTTGAGCAAAATTTTGGTTTTCTATCTTTTCTTTATGAAATAAAGAAGCGTCAGACTTGAGGGGCTGCTGTGTTCAATAACACTTGAAGTGAGAAGTACTGTAAACTTAGGTTGTTTTGTCGCTTTCATCAGGCGTTTTGGAAAGTGTTTATTTGACAGCAATAGAGACAGAAGGAGATAGGAGAATGCTTTTGAGATACAAAATGTCTCTTAAAACGTTGTGGCTTAATTTTTGTACAGGCAAATATCCAGTCAATTATGGCCTCGGAGAAACAGGTGAATATCTTGATGAAGTTGCTGGATGAAGCTCTAAAGGAAGTTGACCAAATTGAGCTAAAGCTGAGCAGTTATGAGGAAATGCTTCAGAGTGTAAAAGAGCAAATGGATCAAATTTCAGAAAGCAACCACCTAATCCATCTCAGCAACACAAATAATGTGAAACTGCTGTCGGAGATAGAGTTCTTAGTGGTAAGCATTTTTATTGTGTTTACTATGCTTGTTCACATGAGGTATAAAATTCTTTTAGGTTACTACCTTCTTTAGCATATATGAGGCTCATTTAAAATAATGAGTTTATTTTTCTGTTTTATTATGGCACTAACTTGAGTAAGCTTTTATAATGTTGGGATTGTGTTTATCACTCTTTGTTCAGCAGCATAGCAAGCTAACCTGCTTATGGACAATACTTTCATTATTTTGTAGAATCACATGGATTTGGCTAAGGGTCATATCAAGGCCCTTCAGGAGGGAGATCTGACATCTTCTCGAGGCATCGAGGCCTGCACTAATGCAGCAGATGCCCTTCTGCAGTGCATGAATGTAGCTCTTCGCCCAGGTAATGGCTTTTTTAGACTACAGTCTAACATACAAAATTGATTATGGTAGTGCCTTTGTATGTGCCTTTCTAGCTAGTCTCGGATTATGTTTCTGTAGATTGAGGGAATTGTGACTTCCGGTCCTTTTGGTTCCCACAGACAATATATTACTACCTATTTTGTACTCTGTGAAGCTCTTCTTGTTTGTAGGACACGATATGCTTCATGCGGTGAAACAGCAACAGCAGCGGTTTAGCGACTTGCGTGAACAGTTTGCACGGCGACTCGCCAGTCATTTTTTCAGCAGGTATTACTTCTTACTATTTTATATGACATTTTCAGTCACAGATTTTCCTGAGGAGAAAAAAAAAACCCAATCCATCTAAAACTGGACATATTCGGTAATGTAATCCATAAATGAATGGACTGCTAGAGGCACTTCAGGCAAGGATACTACTAAGCATGTCAGACTGTAGTTGCCTACAGAAGTCTTACATAAAAAACAACAAAACAGTAGGTGTGCTGTTTGACTCAAACATGTCATGTGATATATAATTATTTATCTTAATTGTAAGGCTTGATTAATTGAGGGGAAAAAGCATTGACTTTTTTGTTTAAAGGTGTTAGAGGCTGAGAACATCGGAGTTCTTGCTGTCTGAACTTCAAGGGCCGTAAAAAAAAAAAAATCTACAATAGAAGAAATATGAAGTAAAATGTCTAGATCTATAAAGGTGTTAGAGGCTGAGAACATCAGAGTTCTTGCTGTCGGAACTTCAAGGGCTGTTAAAAAAAAAAAAAAGCTACAATAGAAGAAACATATAAAGTAAAATGTCTAGATCTGTGTGGTTTTGGTTTTTATTTTAGCCTTAACGTGAATTATGTGGAAATCCCTGTCCTGAGACTTGTTTCCTAAAGCCTGGATGTCTTTGTTTTAGCATCAGTTTTTTAATTTCTGTATTTTTTTTATCTCCAATTAGTTTACTCAGACACTCCTCCAACTCTATAACAGGTCCCACTCTCTCTCTGTTCCAGTGAGTACGTTGGGTTTGATACAAGCTTTTCTAACTCATTCTTTTGAGCTTGACTTATCTAACCAGCAGCTGCGTCTTTGGTTTTACAAAAATCAATTTATACTTACCGATTGCAGCCTATCAGATTTATGCCCCTTCTCGCTTCCATTATTTTTGTCAGCCCTCAAGCTTTGTTTATCTGTTTGAGATAGCATTCCTCCGATCTGATCTCCAGAAATTGCTAGGAGACAGATTGAGATGTATGAAAAATATTTTCAGGCAGTTTTAATATGTGTACGACTGTACAGATACTGCAGTTTTGTGAAACTGTAATATTTGTAAATAAAAAATA